GCTCTTGGCATCTGGATGGCCCCACTGACCACACCTGTCCAGCACTCAAGTCAGCCAGGCTCTTCACCCCACAAGTCGTGTGCACCCCAACCCACGCCTGCTCATGCAGTCCCAATGTAAAGGACTGCCTTCACCAGGCTGCTTACCCAAACTGCACCTAAGCCCCCATCCCGGACCTCCCACCAAAAACACAACAGAGTAATCCCTCTCTTCTGAAATCCCTGCACTTGCAGTCCACACCATTCCTTCTCCATTGTTTCATGCGTCAGTCCTGTCTCTCTCAATCTGACCGTGAGCTAACACCTATCCGATCCCCCAACTTACCCCAGGACCAGCACCGGCGGGAAGTGACTTGGTTCTTAGAGAGGCAGGTGGCACTGTGAAGCCCTGGGTCCCAAGTCCAGCTCTGACCTCGGATGTAAATAAACCCTCTTTCCCCAGCCCAGGTCTTAGTTTCTATCACTGTTCCCTAAACTTCTGTCATTTGCATATCAGTGTGGTGATTTCTGCTTTATCTGTCTTCATTACTTACTATTTTCTTTAGATCAGCTGCTCTTTTCTCCTAATAACTTCCATGAAACCAGAGTTTAAAATGCTATTTACATGTTAAACTCATTAAAATAAATAATGACTAAGATGAAAATATGTTCACTCCTTGTCTAGTGCACAGGTTAAAAAGTATGTGCTGGAGCCAGACACCGTGAGTTCAAATCCAAACTCTGTCAGGTTCTCAGCTGGGTAACCTAAGTTCCCCATCTCCCTGCACCTGGCTTCCTCATCTATAAAGTGAGAGAAAAACAGCACTTACTTGCATGTACTGGAAGGCTTACTGCATGCACATGTAGGGGCCCAGATTTTCACCCAGGCCACCCACCAAGTTGCTAAGTATGTATGGTCCTCATTCTAGTCCTCACCTGCCCTCACATATTAGCCTCCAGCAGTCCCCTTCCCTGGGTGTTTCATCTTAGTCTCCTGCTAAGGAGAGGGTCCTGCCCTCAGGCTGCTGGTCTCTCTCCAGTCTCCTTCCTGAGTGGGCCTCTTGCAGCCCCAGAACCCCAAACACCACTGACCCACCTCAAACTTCCATCTCTAGCCCAGACCTCTCCTGACCTCCTGACTCCCAAGTTCAATTTTCTACCTGATATCTCTAGCCTTAGGCTCTCATTTCCTTCCCTTGTAAGGCCTGCTCCATCCACAGCTTCCCAAGCACATTCTTCCACTGACCCAGTCAGAGGAAATGCTTGTGTCACACCCTTGAATGCTTTCCTGCACACACTCCACATCCAAGCCATTGGCAAGCAAGACCAGAAGCTGACCCCTTCTCGCTACCTATCCCTGCCACCTGGTCCAAGACACCAGTGTGTCTCCTCTGGATACTGCGGCAGCCTCCTAGCTGGTGTCCTGTTCTGCCATCGGTCCCTTCATCCTTCTCAGCACAACAGCCAGTGAACTTGTAAAACCCAAGTCACATCCTCTTCCACTCAGAGTCCTCAAAGCCTTTCTGTTCACTCAGGATAGGAACCTAAGCCCGTGCAGTTGTCAGCAGGGTCTCTGGCCATCTCTGACCTGCATGCTCTCACTCACTCTGCCTGCTCTGGCCTCACCAGGCCCCCTTTCATTGTTTCTCAGCTGTGCTCAGAGCCCCCTGCAGCGCAGCACCTTCACGTTGTTAACTCACATACCACTGCCTCAGTGGGAATTGCCCAAGCACGCCCCCGCCCAATCCGCATCACTCCAGATTTCTGGTGCCAACCTTGTTATTTTGGTCTAAATGACTTGCCATCTGGCACAGATTTTACTTGATTTCGTTTTACTGCCTGAACCCCCAAACAAGTGTGTGAAGCCATGAGAACAGAGCTTGTACAGTTCTGTTCCCTACTGCTTCCTTCCCCGTCTCCACAACTGGCACATGGCAGGAGCTCGATTTATATACCCGTGAATGAATAAACGTTGTTAGTACTTATTGTTAGGCTTTTTATGCCACACTTTGGAGAACATTGGATCAAGTGCTCTTGATGGCTCTCTCAAATCTAATATCCCACATTTTAGCAGACGGGTACCAGCCAACAGGAGGTTGACATTTCCCTCATCTGTTCCTTTGCTTCCCTCCAGAACTGATGCTTGCAGAAATGTAGGAAATGTGCTGATATCTTTTGGGGAGAGTTTTTTTTGGAGTTTTATAGAAAATTTTTTCCTTAGTAAAGTTGTTTTTAAAAAGTGGCTCTAGCCCCTGACTGGACCTATAGGTCATAAGTTCCATTCTCAGTCAAGGCACATACTGAAGTTGCAGGTTTGGCCCCTAGTCAGGACATGTATGAGGCAACCAATTGATGTTTGTCTCTCACATTGATATTTCTTTCTGTCTCCCACCCTCCCCCTCTCTAGAAAAAGCGAAAAACAGGTCCTCAGGTAAGGACTAAACACAATGATAATTTAAAAAATTGTCCCTCTAGTAGTTCCAGAAACACTGATGTCAAAGATGCAAAGAGTTTGGGTAGTGCTGTTTCAGGAAATGGATAAAAGCAATATTTCTCCCATCCAAGTACGAACCAGGCCAGACCCTGCTTAGCTTCCGAGATCAGACAAGATCACGAGCGTTCAGGGTGGTATGCCTGTATACTAACATCAATATTTCTATAACATTTTTAGATACTGGAATCTTAAATGTATGAAAAATTCAATAAATGTTTTAAGAGATGTTATTATTTTGTCTATTTTGAAAAGTTTATATTCAGAATTATAGGTTAGGGTTTTTTTTTTTTAAAGGAGAACCACTTTAAGTCCTAAAAACAAAACTTTGGGATTTCCGGCCAAGATGGAGGCATAGGTAGACACACTGTGCCTCCTCGCACAACCAAAATAGGGACAACAATTTAGAAACAGAATAACAACCAGAACTGACAGAAAATTGAACTGTATGGAAGTCGGACAACCAAGGAGTTAAAATAGACCCGTTCATCCAGACCCATAGGAGGGGCAGACAGAGTTGGGCAGCCAGGGAGGAGAGGGGTAGAAAGGCACAAAGACCTTTGGGACCAGACGCATAAGACCACAGCGGGCGGACCCTGGGCGCACAAGCGGTGGCTGACAAACCCAGCCAAGGGGTGGCAACCAGCAAACCCAGTGAGGCAGACCCAGCCAGGCAGATGCAGCCAGGGGGCAATTGTGAAGCAAGGCACTACTCCCAGTGCTGGGAAATAGAGCCTTGGGGCACTGATTGAAAACACCTGTGGGGGGTTGCAGCCCAGGGAGACTCCCAGCCTCACAGGAGAGGTTGTTGGAAAGACCCAGGGGGTGCTCAAGCCCACCCACACAGGAATTAGCACCAGAAAGTTCCAGTTTGCTTGAGGGAAGCAGCGGAAGGAACTGAAATCTGACAGAAAGTGGAGCAAGAACCATTGTTCCCCCTTGGACCCTACCCCCACATGCAGCATCACAACCCAGCAACTGGGTTGCCCCGCCCTGGTGAACACCTAAGGCTCTGCCCCTCATATGTAAGAGGCAGGACCAGACCACCGCCCCCCCCAAAAGATGATTCAAACAGAATGAGAAATGAAAGCTCCAGAACCAATCCTTTTAAGCCACCGAGAGATAGCCAACCTATCAGATGCACAGTTCAAAACACTGGAGATCAGGATGCTCACAGAATTGGTTGAATTTGGTCGCAAATTAGATGAAAAAATGAAGGCTATGCTAAATGAAATGAAGAAAATGCACAGGGAACCAATAGTGATGGAAAGAAAGCTGGGACTCACATCAATGGAGTGGACCAGAAGGAAGAAAAAAACATCCAATCAGAAAAGAATGAAGAAATAAGAATTCAAAAAAAATGGGGAGAGGCTTAGGAACCTCCAGGACATCTTTAAATGTTCCAACATCCGAATTATAGGGGTACCAGAGGGGGAAGAGGAAAAGCAACAGATTGAACATGTATTTGAACAAATAATAAGGGAAAACTTCCCCAATCTGGCAAAGGAAATACATTTCCAGGAAGTCCAGGAAGCTCAGAGAGCCCCAAAGAAGTTGGACCCAAGGAGGAACACACCAAGGCACATCATAATTACATTAGCCAAAGTAAAAATGAAGGAGAGAATCCTAGAAGCAGCAAGAGATAAGGGGACAGTTACCTACAAAAGAGTTCCCATCAGCCTGTAAGCTGATTTCTCAAAAGAGACCTTGCAGGCAAGAAGGGGCTGGAAAGAAGTATTCCAAGTCATGAAAGGCAAGGACCTACATCCCAGATTGCTCTATCCAGCAAAGCTTTCATTTAGAATAGAAGGGCAGATAAAGTGCTTCTCAGATAAGGTCAAGTTGAAGGAGTTCATCATCACCAAACCCTTATTATATGATATGTTAAAGGGACTTATGTAAGAAAAAGAAGATAAAAAAACATGTGTAGTAAAATGACAGCAAACTCACAGTTATTAACAACCACACCTAAAACAAAAGCAAACTAAGCAAACAACTGGAACAGGAACAGAACCACAGAAATGGAGATCACATGGAGGGTTAGCACCAGGGGAGTGGGAGGAGGAGAGAGGGGGGAAAAGTATGGAAAATAAGTAGTATAGATGGTAGGTAGAAAATAGATAGATGGTAGGGAAAAAGTACGGAGAGTAAGTAGTATAGATGGTAGGTAGTATAGAGGGAGGGTAAAAATAGTATGGGAAATGTAGAAGGTAAAGAAGCTATGACACATGGACATGAACTAAAGGGGGGAATTGGGTGGGAGGGGGTGTGCAGGGTGGAGGGGAATGAAGGGGGGGTAATGGGACAACTGTAATAGCATAATGAATAAAATATATGTAAAAAAACCTTTATAACTTAATAAGCATACCTTCCACCAATATCTTCACAGGTAATTAAAAGAGTAAAACCTCTGGCTTAATTAGAATTTACATTTTGCCTTAAATATTCCAAAACCCACCCTTGTCCACTTTGGCATTTTAATCTTGCCCAATACCATGAAATAGGGTAAACCTTGATTGGTGGCCATATTCCTAACTTTTACTCTTCAAGTATTTTTCCTGATCTTGCTCTCTGATCCCATACATTCCATAACATTGAATGCTTTTTATTTTAAATAGCGGGGAGCACAAATGCAATCCCCACTATCACAAACTATGCAGTCGAGTTTTCCGCATTTGAGGAAATCGCAGGGTCTAGCACATCTGGAGTGCAATGGCTAAGCCTCATCCTGGGAAACCACCTTCATGATCATGGCATCTCCCCTGCCAGGTGGGTCTAAATTACTCTTTCTTAAGAGTCATAGCTGCACTAGAATGTAGTGCTGTCCTGGGGCCTGTAGGCCTGCCTGTAAAGCAAGTTTCAGAAGGTATGCTCTGCTTAAGACAACAGAAGAATGTGGCCTGTTAAGCATGCATGAAATGTGTAGCTCTGTTCTCTTCTTTTGCCTCTTAAGATAATGTCACTGCCCTGGCCAGGTGGCTCAGTTGGTTGGAGCACTGTCCTATGTACCAGAAGGGCGGGGGCTTGATTCCCAGTCAGGGCACATATCTAGGTTGAGGGTTCAATCCTTGGTAGGGTTGCGTACAGAAGGCAACCAGTTGATGTTTCTCTGTCACATCAATATTTCTCTCTCTTTCCCTTCCCTTATCTTTAAAATCAATAAAAACATATCCTCCGGTGAAAATTTTTTTTTAATTTTTTAAAGATGGCATCATTGACTCACAATCCCAAGGTATCTTATAAACACCTTTTCCTGTTGAGACCGCCTAGCCACAGTCACATAGACCCAGACAGGAGGTCCGAATAGACTGGTAATGAACTTCCAAGATGAAGGGAGATTTCTTGCTCATTGTTTGTCTGAAATCTTGGCTTATGTTCATCTTATTAAACAAGATATATATTCCCCAAATACCTACAAATTCAGCTACTAAAACTCCTTTAAAGATATTCTTTGCCAACAGTTCCACAGTGCGGGCCATCCTGGGTCATGTACATGTAGGACTGATACTCTTTGTTTACTTTTATGAAGTTTATTGGGATGACATTGACTAATAAGATTATCTAGGTTTCAAGTGTACATTTCTATAATACATGATCTTCATATTGTATTGTCTGCTCACTGCCCAAAGTCAAATCATCTTTCATCACCATATTATTTGACCCCCTTTACCCTTTACTACCAGCAAGTGAGAGCCCCATGCAGAAAGGAACTGCCAACTGTTCCTACAAGCTGTTTCCCCACCATACCTATCTGCCCTCATTACCTGGCCCCAGGGCGGCCTGGGTCTGCCTTACCTGCCACCAGGTGGGCCCGGCTCCGGGCGCACAGGATTGCATTGAACTTGGACTCATCTGTTCCCAGGCGGTTCTCCCCAGCCGCGTACAGCTCCTGGACAGACAGCGGGAAAGATGGGCACACAATGCAGATCTCATCCCAGACACAAGGCTCAGGTCACTTCTGAGACATGGGTAGAGGCGCTGGGCCCTGCAGCCCCAGAGGGGAAGGATACAGGAGCAGTGCTCCAGCTGTGCTACATTCACTGTGCAGAGCTAGACACCATCCATCCACACATCCCCTTACTGAGCAACACAAAGGATTCTGATGCTCGCAAGAACTCAGAACCAGGAAAACCAAAGCCAACTAGAGCCCAGGATGGGCAAGGAAGTTTTACCCAACCAAGGGAGCAGCAGTACAAAGGGAAAAAATGGCACAAGAGGCGTGGGTCTGAGTCCTAGCTCTACAACCAACTTGCCATGAGACACTCTGGCCCCCTCAGCCCTGTTTCCTCATGAAGGTTGGATTCAATTCAGGGGTCACAAACTGAAAAGCCCAAAGGGGCCAGCTGGGTAACCTGAGGAAAGCAGGCTAGAAATAGGGCCAGAAAGTGCTGGGGACCAAGGCTAACCACACAGAGTGGTGGTTACTGTCCAGTGCCAGCCGAGACAATGACAGAGAAATTCAAGCTCACGGGTGCCAGATCCATTTCACATAAATAGCCAGAAATCCTAGTTTCTATGTAAAGTTCCCCAATCTTTAAAAGCAGCTTCCCTATCTATAAGGGCAAACATGTGAGACAATAAATATTATTACAATTGATAGAGATCAGTTACAGATGTGGGATTTCAAATGATAGGTACACTTTTATGTTTGCAAACGGGCAGAATTTGCATTTACCTGTTAAGGCTTTTGAAAGTGTAAGCCTAAAATATTTGCTAATTTGCCACCCCTGCAACAGATGACTTGAAAGTACCTTCTGGCCTCAGGTAACAGCTCTTAAATCTAAAGGCACCAATACCCAGAGTAAGAGGGTAGCCATCAGGGGCTCAGAAATCACACAGGTCCAGAACTACTGAAGGCAGAGCAGCAGGCATGAGACCTTGAAACTGAGGCAACTTCAGCATCAGTTAGAGAACAGCCAATATAGGAAACGGGAAAACAGGAATAGGAATATTCTCACTGAGGCCATAGCCACAGTCTGGGAGCTTTGAAATTGTTCAGCCAAATCTAGAAATGGGAATGGATGTCTCAAGACAGGGAGATGTGAAGGCAGACCCTGCAGGAGGGCATCTGGGACCAGGGGGTCTGTGTGCTCCCTGCAGACATTTGAGCCAGGGGTCTGGGCCCTTGCCCAGGCCCTGCCTCCAGATATCCCTGGGTACAATGCTCAACCTCTCTGAGCCTCAGTTTCCCTATCTGGAAAGCAAAATGAACCAGATCATAAGAGTGGCTCTCTTCCAACCCTAACAAGAGGGCATTCCACAGAGGTCCTCTTCAACCTGACAGATGGGAGAGATAAGGAGACCACGGGCAGTTCCTGGGAAGCCCTGCTGATGCTTGGGGTGGGTAGCAGGAGCAATGAGGAGGAAGAGAGGTATGGCCAGCTCGATGCCACCAGAAAGCCATGGCTCTCTCCAAAACTTCGAAGGTCTGAATTCATTAGTGGAAACCCAAACTCCTCTAGAGGGACAGTCAGATACCTGGACAAAGAGGAAATGATGACGTTTCCCCTTTTGTCTGCAGTCACATCAGGCTGGGGACAGAATGGAATTATAAGGCTGTACAATGAATTCAAAAGCTGGTTTCTAGGCTCAAACCTTCAAACGCTTCACAAGGAAGTGTGACTTTGGCCCATTTGCAAATGTAATGGCATGTGCAACCAGAGACAAAGTACAAGGTCACATGTACTGGGATCTACCAACTGCTGTGGGAGTTAGGGCGTATGTTCCCTCTTACAGGGAGGGAAACTGAAGCCCATAGAGGTTGGATGACATGCTCAGGGCCACACAGTTGACAAGTAGCAGTGCCCTTCTGAGAGTTACAGCACCTAGAACCTACTCCTTATAGGTCCTCTTTCCATCCCAGAGCTCCTCCCCCATGAAGAAAGTGGGCTACCCCCACCACTTAGGAAGCCCAGGTTGGGTGCCTGAACTGGCCTCACACTCACCTGAACATCTCTCTGAACGAGCGACATGTCCACGTTTGTGCTTTCATCCCGGTTTCCCTAAATGGAAACAGGCTGTGTGGTAAAGTCCACTCCCTGGAGATGTACCCCTCCCTTCCCATTCCTTTTCCTCCTTGCTCAGGGATGTCCCCCTCTCCACGCTGAGCTCTGGTTCTGAGCTCTGTGTGGGCAAGGTACCTGAGAGAGAGAGATGAGGAGCCGTTGGAAGTGCCCTGATGTATCGCTTCGAATGGCCTCCTCCAGGGTCTTTTTGAATTCTAGGAGACACAGGGAAGGCCTACCTTGTATCCCCATGGACGAAGCTGCCCACTGCAGACACAGTCAACAGTGGGCACTGAGAAGAGAAGGGCCTGAGGGTCCTGGGCTCGAGGAGACAGGTGGCCCCCAACACTCTCCAGGGACACACAACTGGAAATGCTGGAGGGGCTGTGAACTCCAGGTTGACCTGGCCTCTCCTCGGGCTTAGCCCAAACCAAACCCACAAGGCCCTCCCTTAGTCACCTGTCCTGTGTGCAAACAGCAGGCAGGGTTGGGTCTTGGATCAAAGCCCCATGTGTTGGTTGTGGTAGATGAGGTGATAAACATACCAGGAAGGAATAGATGCCCTGGGAGAGGGTGTGGCCAAGGCCCTGAACACACAGGGATCTGTAGGGCGCAGAGGACCTGGGGCAGCCTAACCTGTTTTGTAGGCTCTGCTCACTTCCTGGATGTGCTCATTGCTGCGGGAGGCGAGGATCTCAATGAGGCAGGCTTCATCAGTGCCAGCCCCCTGCAGAGAACACAACAAACCACAGGCTTGTCACAGCCCCCTCATTGGCACCAGGAAAGAGAGCAGGTGCCATGCCACTGCCCTCCTCCCCAGAGTACAAATCCCAGCAACAGAAGCCGTGAGGAGCCTCTGGGCTGCTGCTGCTATCTGACCGCAAGCAGCCAAGCTGTCCTCCACAGCCTCAGGAAAGCAACAGCTAATGACAGCCACATCGTGATGAAGAGTAGAGGTAGAAAGAAGGATCATCCCCATTCCACCCACTGGAAAACTGAGAATCAGGGAGGTGTCGTGACTTGTCCAAGGCTGCACAGGAAACAGTAGGTTGAGATGTGGACCCAGAACTGTTTTATTCCAAGTTCAGCCCATAATGAGATGGGCTAAGAAAATGGGTTTAAACTAAGCATGGACATGTGGAAAAGCAAGTCTTAGAATGGACCATGGAGCATCTGGAGACATCCAGGAAGAGGCAGCAAGAGTGAGGATGAGGGTGAACCATGCCAAGGACAGCAACAAGGTGGAGGGCAAGGTCTCCAGCCTGGCTCCTGTCAGTTTGAACCTCAGCTGTGCTGTGACTAGTTGTGTAATATTACACACATTACTTAAGCTCTGTGCCTCGGCTCACTTGTCCATAAGATGGAAGTGACACTGGTACCTACCTCACAGGAAAGTCACGAGGACTCAATGAGTTACATAAGTTAAACAAGTTACACTGTTCTGTTACACTCAGAACAGTGCCTGTCACTCAGGAAGCACAACAAAGGCTGGGCTATTTCATGTTTCCAGCTACTATAGATGACTCAAGAGTTCACCAAGCACTTCCACCAGCCCCTGGCTCAGTGCTCACCATGTCACAAGAGCAACCACATTCCCATTTTACAGGTGCTCAAGGACACATAGCTGCTCAAGGACACTGACCCCAAACTTGTGCTGTTTCCAGCACCCCACAACCACTGCCACCTCATAAATGGCTGGGGGCGGGGGCTAGGCAAAGGTCTTGGGGCCATTCCCAGGTGCCCTCCCCAACTTCCTCCAGAAGCCCTCTGTAGAATTATCTATAGGCCCCCCACTATAGGGCAGCAGTCCCCAACCTTGTTTGCAGAAGGGACTGGTTTCCTGGAAGACAGGACAGAGGGGAGGACAGAGGAGGCACAGCTCAGGTGAGCTTCCCTTGCTCACCCACTGTGGAAGGGGAGGGGAGGGACAGGCAGATGTGGGAGGAGGCAGGGTGGAGCTTTGCTAGAGGCCCAGTTCCTAACAGGCCAGAGGTTGGGGACTCCTGCTGTCAGGTGTTTCAATAGAGTCCTATCTCCCTTCCAGGCTCCACACTTAATTCTCTACCTCCCCTCTTGGGGGCAGGAAGGGTCACTGTGCCTCCCCATCTCTGATGAAATATTAGATTCCTTCTGAAGCACCTGTTCTATTCACAAGAATTCTCCTTCTGTGGGACTGCCCTTCCCCATCCACAGGATTCCTGTTGTGGACTGGGAACCCCAGGAGTGTGTGGAATGTAGAAGACTCTGAGCTTGGTCATGACTGAGGGGCTGGGGGCAGATACTACACCAAACTAAGGCAATCACAATGTGGATCCTCTTTGGAATCTGGATTCAGGAGCAGTTGGTCTCTTCTGTGGCTGGATCTCTGATGGGTAAATGGACAGGGATCCTGTGCCAAGCAGACGTGAAAGGAGAAGCAGGGAAACAGACGAAGAATAAAGTGGACCCAAGAAGCAGAGACCAGAGAAACTCTG